GATCACCCCAAAACCCCAAAACCCCAAAACCCCAAAACCCCTTCTGACATTATCTTTGTTAGATATGAATTTAAAAGATAAATTGCAACAAATGAACGATATAATAGAGTGAAGTTTTATTTGCTAATTATGGCTATAAACCTGACTAGCAGTGAAGTGTTTAGTGGTGATCGTGATGATGTTTCTATGCTACAACAACTTATATATTCATCTTTATTCTGATAATCCTCCCTCAATTTACCATTTTGACAGGCCTCAGGTGCCGATTCAATCATCGTATTGAGGCATTAACAACTTTTGCATGTTGAAAGGATTATTTAATGGTGGTGGTGCCTGTATTTATTACTACTGCAGTTACTGTAAGTGCTGCTGTTGAAAGTGCTGATGCTAAATTAAAGGTGGTGGTGGCTAAATAATTTATTCAAATTTGTTAGAATTGACCAGGTTTTAGAGGCCTTCCTTCTCTAATCTGTCAATTATATAAGTCTCAAGTGCATCTTGAAAATCGGCGGCGAGTTTATATTTAAAGGCCAAATCTTCAATAATTTCTTCAATTGTATCTTACTCTTAGATTTCTATTGTAACTTCTAGTCCAATTAGCTTTAGATTGAGGACATATAATAGATTGGTTTTCTATTTTAACTTAATTTACCTGTGATTGCCTGAGTTTTAAGAGCTAGTGTCATTTTTGTCAAGATCTTCATCGTTTTGATCTCTCTAGAAATTTTTAGCTTACTCTTCCATAATGGCTGTCGCTAACTCGAACTATTAATGCTGTTGATTTGTTTAATGATTTTATTTGTCTTTTTTCATTGTAGTGCTATTATTGGTTCCATTGACTAAATGCTTTTTTCTGTTTCCACCATCTAATGTCTGTATAAGAACTTAATTAGATCCATTAAAACTGGATTTTAGATTGCGAACTCCTCCTTCATGCGAAGTTTTATTGTTATAGTTGTTTCCTTAGTTGTAATTATTCCTACTACCTCCATTGTTGTTGTGATGATGATTATTGTAATTTCCTGAGTTATTATTCTGCATTTTCCCTCGATTATTGTTGAATTTTTTATTGTAGCCATCATTACTGGAGTAGAACTAATTCCCATTAGTATTGCCATTGGGATTGCTATTGTTGTTATAGGTTCCTCTTTTGTTGTTTTTGGCTATATTGCTATGATTACCAGGATTTCCTCCAGCATCCATCCCTCCTCCATTATTATGATTATGATAGGAATTTCCATAATGCTAATAACTCTGATTATCCCAATTCGAATTGTAATCCTGATAGTAATTACCCTTCTTCTAATTGAAATTATTCTGTTTATAGCCGCCTTAGTTGTTGTAATTATTATTCTACTGCTAATGATGATGGTATGTTGAATTTTGTTGTGAACTCGTCGATTCATCTTTATTATGAGGTCCATTGCTATAATCTAATGACTTCTTCGATCCAAATGACTTTTCCTATTCTTTTTCTTACTGTAGAATTTATTCATAAGCCCCATGGTCCCATCTCTCGTTCTCAGCCTATGAGGAATGATTCGAACCTTTGAACATACTACCTCTCTTGCCATTACTTGTAGTGCTTTCTTTCATTTGAAATAGTTAGTAATAATTTTAATATTTATTGAATAAACTCAAGCCCTCCACTTAATTAATTCAATGAAAACTACTTCAAGTACAATACTAGCCTAACGGGGTTTTGGGGTTTTGGGGTTTTGGGG